GGCCTGGGCTGGAGAGATGGTTCAGAGGTTACAAGCATCAGCTGCTCCTTCAGAGGACTCAGGTTTGATCCCCAGAACCCATGTGGTGGCTCACAACTGTCTTTTTGTAAGTCCAGTCCCAGGGGATCTAACACTCTCTCTCATGTGGTATAGGAACACATGTGCAGACAAAACACCACATGTAAAATAAATTTTTATAAGTTTAAATTCATACATATTACATGATGCCAGTCTGGTGTGACACCTTCAAATAGAAAGGAGGAAGAGGAAGGATCAAATTTCATATTTTATTTTCAGATGGGAATTGGTGAAAGTATTAAGGCCACTCCACGTAGTTAAAAGGAAGATTTATTTAGTGGGTCACTTACAAATTAAGGGATAGGTAGGTCGCGGGGGTCTGGGGAAGGTGTATCTCAGTCCAGCGGTGTTCTCTGGAGCTCTGCTCAGTCATCCTCCACCGTCTAGGGTCCAGGAACAGAGAGAGCGCTCGCCCATCCAGGTCTCGGGTCTCCAGGTGCCTCCCTTGGCCCTGCCTTGTAGCCGTGACAGTTGCCAGAGTCTCAATGGGGGTTGGAACTTCCAGATCCAAGCTGGAATGGCTACCCACTACAGATGGGAAACGTGTTGTCCCAGAGCCATTTGTTACGTGATAAAAGTAAAACTTTCCTGTCAGTCAAAACTGCCCCTCTGTGATGTGATGGTTGTGTGTGGGTCTATCTCAAGGCTGTGTTCTAGCCTTCCATCTTTTGCCTGTGCATCTATTACCTTTTCACAAGGCCTGGACTACTTTAGGGTTTTAGATTTTTCCTTGTAAATCTTAGAATTAGTCTGCTAATTTTCATAAAATTATTCTAGGGATTTTCATTAGAATTACAGATAAAATTTTGAGAAAACTTGTAATCTTTTTTTTTTTTTTTTTTTTGGTTTTTTTCGAGACAGGGTTTCTCTTTGTAGCTTTGCGCCTTTCCTGGAGCTCACTTGGTAGCCAGGCTGGCCTCGAACTCACAGAGATCCGCCTGCTTCTGCCTCCCGAGTGCTGGGATTAAAGGCGTGTGCCACCAACGCCCGGCTCAAAACTTGTAATCTTAAAATATTAGTCTTATTCATAAATCTTACTTAAGTTTCCTTTCATGTCTTCCATTAAAGATTTCTAATCTTCTCTAAGGGATGTCTTTTGCCCTCTTAAAAACAAAAAACAAAACAAAACAAAAAACCTCAAAACTGTATTTCTGGAGCTAGAGAGATGGCTCAGTGGTTAAGGGCGTTTGCCGCCTTCAGAGGACAGGGCTTGCTCTCCAGCCCTGCACCCTCCAGCCCTGCGCCCTCCAGCCCTGCGCCCTCCAGCCCTGCGCCCTCCAGCCCTGCACCAGCATCTCGTGACCACCTGTACCTCCAGCTCCAGAGGAGAGTGCCTCTGCTACACCCCACACCTGCACACACAAACACAAATAAAAAGATATTTTTAAAAGATTTATTTCTGAGTATTATTTCTGGAGAGTTATTTTTAATGAAAAAATCAGTATGAAAATCTTCAACCATATAAACGTAGTAAAATCAGCCATCATCTATTCTTTGGTTATTAGAAGTTCATCTTTTTTTTTTTTTTAATGTCCCTTGCTCATAGAATCCCTCCTCTCTCTTGTCGACTGGAGTCCTGGAGCTCAGTTCATCTTGTTCCATCTGCATCCTCTTGAACACCCTCCCGTCCCTCTAGTTCTCACGGTGGATTGTTTAAACATGCTGCAGCCATCAAATTATTTCAGTATCTCAGGTAGAAAATTACATCATATAGACATAAGACATGTCTCTAAATCATTTTCTGACCTAAACTTTTGAAAGAGTAATTTCTTATCATCAAGGATCCAATGAGCTATTGTGTCTCGCTTGTCACAATTGGTTGATTTGTATATTAGATTTCCTTTTGATTGTGCGTGTGCATTTCAAGAAAGTGAATATTTTGTTCTAGTGAATGTTTTGTTCTAAGGAATTTCCTGCATTCTAGGTTTGGCTGATGGCTCTGCAGAAAAGTAGAACCAGGAAAGGGAAAGAGGAATGAATGAATGAATGAATGAATGAATGAATGAATGAGTTACAGCAGTGGCTGATATGGTTATAAAGGAAGTCCTATGATATGCTGTGTGCCGGTTGGAGAGCCAGAGAAGTCAGTGTGTAGTTTGTCTCCTATCCAAAGAGCTGAACACAGCCGAGCCGGTGGTAGATATCGAAGCCTAAAGCTGAAGGCCTGAGAACCTGGGGTCCACCGTTGCCAGTCCTAGAGCCTTGCATGGGCTACAGGAGCTGGGGCTCAGGGACATGTGCCTTGGCTCTGCCTTTCTGCTCCATTTGAGCCTCCATGTTAGATGATGCCTGCCCACATCAAATCAGGGTGGATGTGGACCATCTTTATTCAGTTTTCTGGTCAAATGCCAGAAACATGTAAATAGACTCAGAAGGAATGCCCCATCAGCACTGACACCTAAACGAGCCCGCCCTTCAACTGCCTGTTTTGTGGTAGTGGGGATGGTCCAAAGCATTAGACCACTGGGCTGCCTGCTTAGGCCGTAGAGTCTGAGGTGGTTTGGGGGTAGGCAGGGTCTCAGTGTAGCTCAGACTGGCCTTGAACTCACTGTATATCCTAGGCTAGTCTCAAAGTTTGGATCCCCCTGCCTCTTCCCTCCCGAGTGTTGGGATTGCAGAAATGTGCACAACACCTAATCTCCTTGTGATGTGTGTTCATGTGTGTTGTATGTATTAACATGTCTTCTTGGGAATGGAGTTTGTAGAGACTAGACGCTCTTGAACACTGTGATCTGCAGCTGGACTCCATGATGGCAGTGGTGCTGTGTTCTGTCAGGAAGGATGTGTCCTGCGTGTCTGTCTTTGTGACACTTGGTACTGGGGACTAGAATCCCAGTTCCTGTGTTTTAAAATTGACCAGCTTTTCTCCTAATGGCTTCCTTAGTGGTTGATAAAGAAATGATGAGAAATGGAAATGATCCTTATGTATGGAAAGTCATGATATCTAATATTTTCATTCTAACACCCATCATCTGGAATTTTAAAAATAATACTTTTTGTCATCATCTCTTTGCTTTCCTTGAGACATAATTGATGTGCGAAAGGCAAGAAAAAATGCTAGCTAAAATCTGGAAAGAAAAAAAAAGTCAGGTTCTCAGGAAGTAGTCCTGGCTGCCCTGGAACTCAGGTCCGCCTGCCTCTTCTTCCCAAGTGCCGGGATTAAGCACGCTTGCCCCTAGGAATGGCCTCTGAAAAGAGGGGAATGCGGGAGGATAATTGAGTTCTCCGGTTTCCTCTAGAGACCGTCCAGTGTGTTAGTGTCTTCTTTCTGAACTTGATGGTAAACAGGAATTGTAACATTTTTACTTAACTTTAACACTGGCTTCTCCAATTTTTTCTTAACTAATAAGTGACCGGTGGCTCTTGACTGGGATTACATTTGAATCCATAGGACAGTTTAGAGAGAGCTGACTTCTAAATGACTCCAGTCACCTACTCCATGACTGTGGTGCGTCTCTCCTCGTGAGAGTTTCAGTCATTTCTCTTGGTGCTGTTTTAAATACAGTTGCTTTTTGTTTATTGGACTTGAATCATGCAAGTTTGCTAAATGCACCTCTTCATAATGCAGTTTCTTTTAGAGTCCCTGTGGTCTTCCTGACGATGTATGTGTTACCTTCAATAAAGACAGCTTCACGGCTTCCTTCTCATTATTGTTGCCCCTCCTTTGTCCCGTTGAACTGAATGCCACCTCCACTGCTGTGTGAGTAGGGACAGAAAGAATATGAAGATGTGCGTGCTTCCTTGTCCCCAGTTTCATCAAGGAGAGCCGCCTGTCCAGTCCCTTCCCTACAGGCTGGGCGCTGCTGGGTAGCGATGCACAAGACGTGGAGTCCACCTCGTCCTCTGGCACTGTGTTTTTTCTTCACATTGGTGACCAGGAGATCTGTCCGTCCTCCTCCAGTGCTAGTCTGCTGTTGGCTGTTTCTAGGGGCAATGCTTGTGGGTGGCAAGGACGATTTCCTACACGGGGCAGGCAGCTTTGCCCCCGCCCTTCTCTGAGCTCAGGTACTCTTGCCTCCTAGACGTGCTAAGCAGGTTTCCTGACCCTTCCCCAGCTGCTTCTAGACTTGTTCTACTTCCAGGGAAATGGACAGAGTTCAGCTGCCTTTGTTCCAGCAAAGGTGTCTTTCTCTCTTCCTCTTACATGAGCAAATCATGGGAGGGGAGAAAACAAAACTGTGCGTGTGGTGAAGACTGAAGAATCTGAACTCTTCAGATGGTGTGGGCCCATTCTTCCACAGTGCCGCTGTTCTTGTTTTACACTGGTCTGGGCTTCTGAGACAATGTAGTCAGCTGTGCTGGAGTTGGAACCTCATGTCATGGGAGATACAGACATGACCTTGTGTATGATTTCTCTCATTGGGTGCTGTGTTTGTCTGGTTTTGCCGTGACTCTACTGGTTTTTGTTCATTTTCATTGGTTGCTAATGTTCTTGTGTAAGTAGAGCTCAGTTTGTCTAAATTTTGTTTATATAGATTGCAGTTTCTAGTGGATACTGGTAGTGTCCTCATACAACTAAATGCAGATTTCAGTAGGAAACTGATTCTCAAAATGCTCGCCACTAGCGAGTCTCACTTCTGGTGACTTTAGAAATGCAAATTACTGCCTTTTCCCTCAGATCTACTGAATCAGAAACTTCAACTTTCAGTGCCTTTCTTCGTAAATTAAAATTGGTCAGTAAAACCTAAAAATCTGAGAGTATTCTAAATTAAATATCTCTGATTGCCAGGTTTATATCACCTTTGCTCTCATTTAGCATTCCCACATAGAGTTTGACATATATCTGTCGAAGTTCTGTACATATCCATTAAGTTGAATTTTTCCAAAAATACATTGTTTTCAGTATTAAAATTTGTCTTTTTTTTTCTAAAGCAGAGTCTTAATTGAGACCTAAACTTAATCATTGCATTCTTGTCTTCTAGCTCTTATCTCTTCTTTTTGAAGATTTGTTCAAAAAATTTAATTCAGAAATGAAGAAGATTGCAGACCAGGTGATTCCTAAGCAAAGAGCAGCCCAGTTTGATGTTGTGAAGCACATGCGGCAGGACCAGATCACCAACGGCATGGTGAACGCCATCTCCACTGTGAGTCCGGCCGTCTGTGCGGTCTGTGAACGCAAGTAGACTAGGATGGGAAAGACCCTGGGAGCCCGGGTGACGGGGTAGAGATCCTGAACGACACATTTACAGCAAAGAAACGTGAGAAGGCCACAGATTCTCTCTCTGCAAGTTTGTGTCAAGTTTAAGGCTTCTCAATAGGAACTCTGTTAATATAGCCCCTCCCCCACAGCCACCTCGTCCCATTCAAGTGTGGAGTCATTCAGCCGTGGTGAACTACTGCTGCCATTTCAAAAGTAATTCACAGATTTAAATAACTTGGATTATATTGTGGTTTCCCTACTTTTTATTAGTTGCAAATTACTTTCTATGTTTAATTCACAAATTAAACTTTATCATGAGTGTGTAAAGAAAACAGCATACAATTATAGGGTTCTGTACTTCCTGCATTTCAGGTATCCCCTGGGACCTTGGAACAGGTCCCCCATAGATTAGGAAGGACTCCTGTGTAACTTCACCGTTCTGTTATAGTTCCTGATGTATGGCAGTGGACATGCACTTGCAGGGAGAGGAAAATCCCTTGTTTAACTGTTACCGGTCCTTCTTCTCATGGGTACTTCCTCCGTTTTTTTTTCCCTGTAATAAAATTGACGTATCAGGCAGATTTCTTAGTTGGCAGCTTTTGTCCAAAGCCATACAGTGGTGTTTTTTTTCACAGTAGGCTATTTTCCTCCGCTTCATCGGCTATTCCTTCCTGGGCTCTGAACCCGCCCTGCAGCTGCTGTGTAGTCAGGGCCGGGCCATCATGAAAGGTCATCAGATAGGTGTCTGCTCCCCTTTTCAAAGCACAGCAATTATAGGTCTATCTGATCGAGTCTGCTTCACATAGGATATCCCAGACACACAATTAGTTTTATGGATGGGTTTTGGCCCAACACATTGACTCCCATAACCATGAAATAATAGCGCAGACTTGCTTCACTGCCCAGCTTCAGAGATTGAGTGGGTCTGTAGGGACAGCTTTATGGTTCTAGCTACAGCTGACACGGAGTACAAGCCTATTCTGTGCTTGGCCTAGGTCCTCAGGCAGAAGACCTGCAGCGTCAGCCTTGTCTGAGTAAGAGCTCCCCTTTCTCCTGACTGTGTTCTTCCTGTGTGATGCTGGTTTATCTTCTCGGCCACCTGCCAGTTAGAAAGCACTGGGCTGGCAGGTGTGGCCCGACCAGAGGTGGCCGCACCGTGGTCCCAACAAAAGAACACGTTCACCAAGTTAGCTTCTCTGCGGAGAGTCTCAGGCCGTGCCGCCCCTGCTCTGTGCCTGTGCTCCATTTGTCCGCTCCTGCAGACTGCTAGAACAAACTCGCTCAGCGTCACTCCCCACCTACTTCCTCTACTAACAGGCTGCCTCGTTCTAGCTCTCTGCTGAATATTTATCTCATTTCTTCTTACCTCTGGGCGTACGTCTCATCCCAAGAAGAAAAGAAGCCAACTGCGTACACAGCAGTCTGTGCGATGCTTGTTTGCTTGCTCGTGGCCTTTAAGAGGTAGAGCTTTACGCCTAGAATTTAGAGCATTTATCCAAACTGCCAAAAGATTGAAGATTCGTAAGAAATAGGTTTTGAATTTAACAAATTAAAATTTTAACTCATGAGGGAGATCCCCTGAAGTCATATTTTAATATCCACTGTTAATTTGAGCTCTGAAAACAGTTGTTCTCAACCTGTGGGTTGTGACCCCCTTGACAAATCTCTCTCTGAAAATATTTATTCATAACGTTAGCAAAATTACAGTTATGACGTAGCAATGGAATAGTTTATAGTTGGGGGTCACCACAGCATGAGGAACTGTGTTGAAAAGTCGCAGCATCAGGAAGGCTGAGAACACCGTCCTAAACGCCCACTAATGTTCCTGTTTTGAGGCTTCTAAAGCTGGGATCAACAAGTGCCCTCCTGAAATTGAATTCAAGTTTGTGCTCAAAATTTTAAGTCATGAAGATAATTGAGTCAAATGGCTTTGAGATTTTTTTTTTACTTTGCTTTTTGATGCATGCTATTTTCTACAACTTATGTTACTATGTATTCATGTCTCTGGAGCATAATATTTAATGTGTACAACTAATATAAACAAAAATTATATTTGATATAATCTGATATGCTCAATACGTAGAGATAAAAATAACATTCAAGATTACTCACAGAAGTCCATTTTTATTAATATTTCAGGTTAGCATACAGAGCATAGAGTCCGTTATAGCTTCTTTCCACTAATGACAGCAATCTGTTTGAATACCGATGTCATCTCAGGTGTTTCTTGATTTGACAACATACTGTTTCTTTTTCTTTTTTATTTTTTTCTTTTGGTTTTTCGAGACAGGGTTTCTCTGTGTAGCTTTGCGCCTTTCCTGGACCTCACTCTGTAGACCAGGCTGCCCTCGAACTCACAAAGACCCGCCTGCCTCTGCCTCCCAAGTGTTGGGATTAAAGGCGTGCGCCACGACCAAACTTTTAACATACTATTTCTTAATGAAAATAATGTACAGTTTTAGGGCTGAAGGTGCTCCTCTGGGTAGAGCACCTGCTTAGCATTTGCAAGTCCTGCATTTGATCCCCAACATTAAAAACAGACAAAACAAAAAAGGCCAAGATAGATTAAAATATTCAATTTTGTATTCCTTGGGCCCAGATTAAGAAAGTATGGATAATTATCTCTCATTAAACTACTGTTAGTTAAGAGTTTTTTTCTGAGCTTGTATTTGTCTAAACGCTGTTGTTGGGAGGCATCTGAATAACAGTGCAACGTGAGATCTGTGTGAACCCTCACCAGTGCTTCCATACTTCATTTCCTGCTCCCCGTGGAAGCCTCAGTGGACCCTGGATCCCAGAGACTCTTCTGGGGTACCTATTCGGAGCTGGTCACTAGCCACAGTGTAGCCTCATTCTATGCTCTGCATAGACGCTGGCTGAGTTTTAACTCCAGTTGTATCATTTTGGTTTCTGTAGTTCTATCAATGGCTGTATGTGCATTACAGGCAGTTACTGTGATCAACTTCTCAGTGTATGAACCAGTTAGGAGTCGTCTCCTGCATCTCATCTCTGCAGGGCAATTGGTCTCTAAAGAGATTTAAAATGGACCGCCAGGGTGTGACCCAGGTGCTGTCTCGGTTGTCGTATATTTCTGCACTCGGCATGATGACAAGAATCTCTTCCCAGTTTGAAAAAACAAGAAAAGTGAGTGGTCCTCGTTCTCTCCAGCCATCTCAGTGGGGGATGCTGTGTCCCTCTGACACACCTGAAGGAGAGGTAAGGTGCCATGGGAGTCTCTATGGGGTCACAGGTCATACCTGTTGGGATGGGAGTCTGGGGTTCTGCTTCTGGACCCATGCACTAGGCTGTTTCTTCTCTTTTGATTAACTGATTATTTGGCAAGAAATACTGATGTAGTTTGTCGGTTATATTATGTTATTCCAAAACAAAGCCAGAAGCCTGTCATTCATTATCTTATCTAAAGAAATTCATAGTCAACATTTCTCTTTCTCATTTTATCCTAAGAATCAAACTATGCAATAAAGATGTGGACAAATGAGAGAGCCATCACCTTTGATGCTCAGAAGGATCTTTGAGTAGCTTCTTGATTTCTTTAGTTGTGCCTAAAGGGCAACTCGTAGCGTATAATCAAAGACCTGCACTAACTCTGAATCATATGGGAAGCACAAGCCATTACCTAAATACCAAATCATTGGATTTGCCAAGATTTAATTACTTAGCCTCACTGTGTCCTCTGTTCCTTGCCTCTTTTTTTTTTTTTGTAGATTAAAAAATAATTTGTATGTATGTGTGTGTGTGTGTGTGTGTGTGTGTGTGTGTGTGGCTGAGTGTATGTATGTGCACCACTTGCATGCAGGTTCCACAGAGGCCAGAAGAGGGCACTTTATAGCCCCTAGAACTAGAGGAGCAGGCTTTTGTAAGCTGCCCAGTGTAGGTGCTAGGAACCAAACTGAGGTCCTCTGTATCTCTCCAGCCCCAGGCTTTCTCATGATACTGTTGTTAGTGTCACCTGATTCTATTCCTTTTGAGCCATAAACTAGTGGAGGAAGGTGGTTCAACACTGTATCTCCAGGTAATGGAGGAAGGTGGGCCACCACTGTATCTCCAGGTAATGGAGG